TGTAATTATAATAAAGATCTAGAAATAGTTTTACAACTAAATTATAACTTCTATAACAAATTATTCATCATCTTCACCATATCTACGCACTTCTTTTCTTTAACTCCTGTAAGTTACATGTGTATGTCACAAAGTATTGAAACGCAGAATTTCACAGTTGCTAAAATTATGTAACTGACATTCAAATTAAGGTCTTCTTAACACTCTCGTTGATTATGTATGTGTCTAATATTAAGCATTTAAAGTTCAGTTATTTATTGAAGATCTAACTACAACAGGAGGTTAAGTCATCATTCAAATGTGAGACAGTTACCATTATAAGTAATATTATCTGTCTTTTGCCTGTATGTATACATGACACAATTTAAGTTTGAGACCAACCAAATAAAAATATAAGGAGAAAGGAAAACTAATTTTTGAATTCTAGGACAGGTGAATTATAGTTTATAAGCATGAAAAAAGCACAAACTATATAATTGATCATTGGTTATGGTTATTTTAAGGCAACTATACAGTGCCACAGGATCAATCCTTTCACCAATTCATTTAAAAAATTCCAAATGAAAAAAAAATTGTGTACATAATATGGTCCTGTAGTACTTTGTTGATAGTACAATGTTTGTACAAAATATATGAAGGTGCAGTATGTTAAAACTACAAAGACATAAGCTGACTTGTAATATAATTACTTAAAAAAGATGAAACTATTCAATGGTGTATGAAATAAATAACAGACCATTAAAGTGACATTCTTGGACTTAAAACACATATTAAATACCTAAATCTGAATATAGTGTGTCATTATATTTTCTGTCATGATATTAATGCTTAAAAATCCTTTGTTCAAAAGAATTTCACTTTTGAAAGCACAATAACAAAAGAATCAATTCAAATGTATATTTAGCAATATGTCTTAAGGCATGCACAATGTATCACTGTATGATATGTTTGATGTTTCTACTTGTTCTATAGTGAGAAGAAATTAACTATAAAATCTCTTCATTAATTTCCCTCAGGGAATTCAGATAAGTACATATAACTATGTCAAAATGTTAGCCGGTATATGTTTTACGTAAGAAAACCTTATTTTTTCATTCTTCATCAACATTTACTTTATTTCTTTATAAACTTCCAACTGATGTTTAAATGACACATGAATGTATTTACACAAACAAGCGATATACATGAATGGCCAGTCATGATCAGTGTAAGTGTACATGTGTACTGAGTCACCATGCAAGGATTTTAATTGCAAAATAATTATTTCATTGCAACAATTTTTCCATTTTACTTTTTTTTAAAAGAGCAGAAATTAAATTGTTGCAGTCCAGTGACTATCTTTTTTATGCTTTTAATATGAAAATAAATGTATATCTTTTTAATATGCTTGCAACGACCATTACCAAAATATAGGTGTACAAAAATAGCAATGAGATAACATTTCATTTAGTCATCATATTTCCCAGATATTAATTCTTTTAATCCATGTTTTAGTTTTTTATACTTTCTGGTTCATGTTACAAGACACATTGGCAAGTAGACTTTCCATATACAACATAATCGTATAATAGTGTTGTACAATAAGTACATCTGTTATACATATGCAATACATTATCATAATTGTTGTGTAAATCTGAATTAATCATAATAATATTTAATAACAATGATAATTCATACACCTGGCACAGAGATAAATCTCAATAAAATACAATTATTATAAACTATTCAAATGTTTTAGTTCTCATGATAAACTACAGTTTCTAACATTTTATTAATTATATGACCCACTCTTATTTAAAATCCATGACTGTAGATTAATGGAGTTTACTTTAAACACTCAGTATATATTGCTACAGGTCAGGATATAAGACGTCACTGAACATCATTAACCATATATGTAAATAGCCAAACACATTTTATAACATGTACATAACACATACATTTTTGCTCAAACCACATACACGGAACTGATGTATATCTTGATAAAACTGGTTTTGTAATAATATTCCCAAATTGATGTATATTGGACCTTTACATGTTTAATTTAAGGTTTTTTAAATCAACATAGAATAGAATTTATTTTTCATCTCTATACTTGTCAGGACACAGGTGTTTACACTATTCAACTACAGGTATAGCAGCTGAACAGGCATAACTCTAACTGCCCAGGTAACTGTGATGTGTTAATTACACCTTCCTTACACAGACATGTCTAATCGATATATACAGTCCAATTATCAACCTGTTGATCGCAGTTATCATCACCAATTATGCCTCAAGTGGGCCCAGTAGACACCTGCTGAGACAAACATTATAATACCAGTCTGTTCACCCACCTGTAACTGGGGTCAGGTGTGTAACGACCTACAATGTCCTCCCTGACAGGAAACAGGTGTAAACTTTAAAACTAACCAGGTCAGGGTCTCGAGTGTTAATAATACTTAGGGTAGCAATAGTATATAACTTCTGTAGTTATCACCCAAGGCAAATACATTGATATATATTTTACCTTTGATTTAAAACATGTATTTATAAGGTACCAGGTAATACAATATAGAGATAAAACACAGGCCTTTAATAAGGTATACAAATCTATCATGTGTAGTCCTGAAACATTGCAAGTTTAAGTTTGACCAATCAAATTATGTTTGCATATTATATACTAATCGACACTTATATGATTTTAACTTTCAAAAAATGTAAATATTTACAACATGTATATAGCATTCTGTTGTGTGTATCGTACTAGTTTTAAATCTTGGCTGGGAGATGCAAGGTAGCTAAAGATAAATAATTAGAAATGAAAAAGGATAATTTCATCATAACAGAAAAAGAATAAAAAAAATTACAGAAGTAAATGTTTTTTCAAAACAGTATGCATGAACTTCTTGTAGCAGAATAAGCTGCATTAAAAAATGACAGATTATATTGTGTGAATATATATACTGTGTGCACATACACAACAGTATAATAAGGTAGCAGACTTGGATCACTAATCGAACACATGGTTTATTAATGCTTGAGGTACATGGTTATGTATATTTACACTGGAAGGTTGTACAGGTAATACTGGTACCTACCTACGACAACGATAAATTGGCACATATTACATATCAAACAGGACTATTAGCAGACGACATGAAAGTAGAGCTGTCTGGTGTTGGTCAATTTACCCACAGGCTGATCATGATTTTGGTAACAAGCTATCTATATATAGCACCAATAAGTAATAAAACATAATAGTATTCACATGAAGTATTAATTATTGCCTGATTTAACTTCTGGTAACATGATTTTTCTTAATCTCTCCTACCAATTTATTATGAAGGGACATAAATGATCTCTATAATGTTACCATCTATATACAGGAATATATATATCAGTTTCATCTTTTCTAAAACAGATATCAAAATAGATAATTTGCGTTAAGATTTTTATGGATATCAATCTTTGAGTACCATTTTCAAGATATAAATATGTAACAGAACTAGAAAAAGGCACATTTCTGCTTATAGCACATGGCAGGAATCAAAATCCAGGGCCACAACCAGAATGATAATCCATAGCTCTACCATGGCAAACTTCCCTAAAGAAGCAATGTTATATCATTACAGTGGCAGATGCTGTATTTAATTCTAGAGCCACACCTACCAACATTGTATACCAGTTTCATATATATCAATCAATTTTAAAGAAATTCATACTTAACATGTTATTAATGTCATATCTGTGGAAATCTTTAGAAAATAAGAAGTGTTACCAGTATCTAAAACTTGTCTAACTTTATACAGATCACTTGAATACACGTATAATAAGTCTTTATTTCAAACATTACACCATGGCCTTTGAATGGAATGTACTTAAAAATCTATAACTATTAAAAACCCTTCTAACTTATAAAATACAACAGAAGATCATTAAACGTCCAGCAACGTTTAGAAAATTATCCTGATAAAGTTAAGTGAAGAATGTTTTGGTTAAATTGTTAATGTAATCATAACTTTCAGGTCTGCTTCCTATCTTGACGAAAAACTGATGACTTGATCAATGACCATAGAAATCAATCATGACCCGTATATTAGTCATAAGTCTGAGGTAAAATCACCGTTCATTATCAATATCCTTTTTTTATTTCAAAGCATTTTCTTTGATAATCAATAGCTAAATTCACACCATCGTGTGTCATATGCATATGCATACAAGTCTGTCATCAGATCAACACTCAACACATACATACATAATGCTCCTGGCAGCTGTTACCTACTACCTACCGGTGGTGCTTGGTCATAACATAACTGAAGTTAGATCATTGAAAATAGTCTACGATGATCTGTAGCACTACCACTTTTCTATCTCTTTTTGGGTTTTTTTTTCTGTATTTTTTTTGGGTGGGGGTGGGGGAGAGAAGGGGGTTCTTTTTTAATAATTGAAATTAATCAATGTTGGATGCATGTGACAAAGTCAAATTAAGGAAATAATATATAAACTTTATCAGTGTGATTTTACATTAATTTGAGTATTCTTCGCATTTTTCTGCTTACATATTTGAGTTAGAACTATCAACAACCATTCCAGGTAGAGACAATTTGCTGTGGAAAAAGTTTACTACAGATATATACTATAGATATTTATACTCTCATAGGCTCTCTTGTATCTGGTCAGTTGTTTCCTTCGTGCATATGACTCCGATTTGATACAAAAATGCATATTAACCTATCATAACTGATATAAACGCATGCATATTTTCCCAGTCATTCAGCAGCGACATTTTAAAATTTAATTGCAAATAACAAACATGTGACTCAAATAACAACACACGAACTTACTACATGTTTTACAATAAATTATAAACACCAAGGGCAAGATAACCGAAACAATAACACATCATGTTGTGGTATTCCATCAATATACCGCCCTTCTCACAATCGTGACAAGCCGCCTGTTTAATTTCTCTTGATGGATTGTTAAGCCAGATTTCACACCAAATTACATTTTCTTACCTTAAAAGATAACTGAATGGGTTCCGAATCGTCCAGAAATCGGATAGTGCATTGGTACTCCATTTGCGGGTCCCCTTTAACACTTCGTTTCCTAAAAAGTGTCATCTTTCAAATAAGAGCTTGAGGCCGCTCTTTCTTCTGTGAATGTTTTTTATCGCCAATGTGTCACATCAACATCTATGCAAGATGGAAGCCCCAGTTTGTCACATGACCTCGGCCAAGTTCAAGGCTGTTTACATCAGGATCACCTCGGGATTCTTCATGTCTTGGTATTTAAGAAGATCGTCCATGCGGTTAACTGCCAGGTAGTAACCGTTTCAAGATCCTACTTTCAGTTTGTTCGTGGATTAGATAAAGTAACTATACTCCATATATCATCACATAGGTATGTGATTTCAACTATCCCATATGTAAACATGGGTGGTATGAATTATGATTCATCAGGATGTATCAGAGACATGTTGAATGTTTTAATTTGAGTCAAAAACATCTGTTGATTCCCATTACGATACATCTGTACTTACAAATTATTTCTAGTCACAGAGACACTGAAGGTTATAACAAGTATAAATTCCCGTGTTGTTTCTTTACAAAATATTTTGTAAGTCATGTAGGTGCTTATACTCCATGTGACCCTTCATTTGCTCAATGCCCGGATTTGTAATCAAATTGTTCCACTGTCAGATAACGAAAATATGCATTGAACCCCAGTCTCCAGTGTAATAATCCACTGCTCTACCAGTTGAGCCAAAGAAGCATGCTCCAACAGCAGAGCAACAGAGACCATATTTGATACTTTGAGTTTGCATGGTACATGGATTACGATTATTTTCTTTTTAATTGTTGTTAAAATGTTATTTGCTGTAAATTGTTATATATTTTGTCAATATGTATATCGCTATAGGTAATTCAGTTACCCCTGTTACTGCACAAAGAAAAGCACATGGAGGGACTTACCATGAAACGTAAACTGAAATACCCAGATAAAATCCATGTGATGACCTTTTTAATTGGACCAGGGAATAAAACTCCAAACTCAAGTTGTCTAGGTGATAGGAAAGTGTATTATCATTACACCACCTGACCACAAACATTTTATTAAGGACCAAAAGCTATAGCAGATTAATTTTATAGTTTTATCCATTGAGGGTATGTGTGTGTCGGGAAGGGGGAGGGAGGCATTTCACCTTGCCGACCGGGGTTCAATTCCCGGAACGGACGTGAAAAGGTTAGGGGTCACCTGCCCGACCACATGGGTTTTCCCAGGTACTCCAGTTTCCTCCCACAATAAGATCCCTCGCGTGCTTACATCCGGGTCAACAAGAGTGATTAGTATAAGTTGACATAACTTGTTTCGCAATTGTTGTAAAATAAATAAAGTTTATAAAATAAAAAGATTTGGTTTGAATCTTTATACTGTATGAGTTTTTTAACCAGGTTTTTTTTCTGCTCGACTTATCACCCTGTGAATATTTTGTGATAGGGTCTCCTTGCTGTACACTATAGTCAGTGGCTACCTTATCCAGAGCAATTTCAGTGAAATATTTTTTGGGGAAAAAAACCATACAGTGCAGGATGTTCTAAATCTATGAGACTCACAAATTGTGCCAAGTAAGGATTGAACCACAAACCTAGGATTTTCATCTGAAGTCATAACCATTGACAGAGACATTGTTGTCCCTTTGAAATATTGGAAATGTAAAAGACCACATGTATATTGTCTCCTATAGGAATCAATATCAAGTGTCTCTACATCTCAGCAGGATAAATGGTCGGTTACTAAATCCTAATTTGGACGACATCATTCCTTCTCATTATAAATACATGCCCGAAACCCAAACTCTATATAGTTATCAACTATGCATCCTTGATTAAGGGATATTGAAGTTTCTGTGAATTGATCTCTATAGTCTACTGTTGTTTCTGTTAACACTTGTGACTTGTTCTTCCACAGGTTGGATAGTGAGGGAGATCATGCAGATCATCATTATCGGAGTTTCTGGGTGTGGAAAGTAAGCTTAAATATGTTTTTATATATAAACCATCTCCTGTAATGTCTCCCTAGTTTTGCATGGATATCCTGTTCGTGAATTTATTTACCAGAAAAGGGAGGTAAAAATCTCCACTTGTCTAATATATAAATCCTTTGAAGTGTGTTGGAGGCAACTGCATTTTAAAATATTTAGCCCTCCATATAAATTTATGAAGACATTGCTGTTCAAAATCTACAACTTTCATTTCATACTGTGCTTTGTTTTGAAACAAAATATATTGTGTTTGCAAAATGAGTTTGCAGTTTGATAATACGAATACCAAAACAAGGTCAATATGATCACAATTAAGAGAATATGACATCATCATTTAACGACTATATTACATTTCTCTGAAATGGTGATACAAATGAGCGAGCGATTGACATATGTCAAACATTATTGTTTAAATTTTACTACCTGATTATCATCTAGAGTTAAATTGTATGTCTGATTTAAAGATAATTGAAGCAACTCTGTCCATAGTCTATTCTAATACATTAAGATATTAAATGTGTTTACACTATATCATTTTTAGCCAACTTTCATCAAAATGTCTATCTGTGATTCCCCATCCCCAGCTCTGCCGGCACTGAGAGTAGAAGCAACATGTGGAAATTTTTCAATTCAATTTATTTAATTCTTTTGTAGGGATAAAGGGATTTCAACTAAATTTGGTCTGATTTAACGTCATTGGAGGGTTTTTATTTTGTATGGACAGTTACTTTGACTTCCTTTGGGGTCAGAGAGGCATTATGGTCTAATGAGAGAAATACATTGTAAACCTTAATTATCCTTCTCCTTTAAATTTGTAAAAGGAATTTGGTCCAAAACTAAGCTACTTTTAAAGCCACATGTGTCAAATATGTTAAGATCTTTCAATCTCTTCATCTCAACAACCAGAAGACCCAGGGTGCTGATATTAGGCCTGAAGCATGCTAGGATGTAAGGCTAAAAAGTTTGTTAATATGAATGACTTTGACCTGATTACAAGGTCACTGGGGTCAAATATGTTGAAATCTTTAAACAACTCAATGACCAAAAGGCCCAGGGTCTTGATACTGGGCCTGTAGCATGTTTTTTTTTTTTCACAAGCATTATGTCTGCAGTAATGGTATTTGTGTGGTATAAAGAATAAGGTTTTAAGTTTGGGAAAAAAGCATCTTTATGGATCAACAATGTCTTCTATGTAAGCTGTAATGTAGTTGAGCAATTTATTTTAGGTTTATTTGGCCTCTGTTACATAAAGGTCTTTATGGTCAGAATGTTTGAAAAAGATTACTCTATAAAGATACATAGAAAAAATTCATGCTAGTTTGGGAAATAGCTGACAAGTACTGTATCCAGTTGCTTGAGTGTATGACAAATGTCCAGTATGGGGTCCTCCTCAAATTGATAGAGGAAGGGATAGATTGAGTTTATTTTCATTTCTGTAGGGGTACTGCAAGAATCATAAATAAACTTGCCTTAATATTGGTCTCGTTTTTATTTACAGAACATCAGTTGGAGAGGCATTAGCAAAGAAAGTAAGTTGATTTCTGTGTAAAAGTCTGACATAAACCAAAAGATGAATTTCAAAAACCAACAATGAAAAATAAAAAGAGCCTGGTAAAGATCTTAACAAAATTTCATGATGTGTAACCCAGGTGGTAAAAAAGACACAGCTGTACATCTGGTCATGAGCTATGGCTTACATAGCTTAGTGGTGTAGTGACCATTATCAGCTGGTATAGATCAATATATGTACAAGGTTCAACATGACATGAAAGTGATGATTTAGCATCGATGTATCTTAAAATGACAATACTACCCGCCTCTATACTGATCCATATTTATACCAGTGACACATTTATGTACTGGAATAACTTTATGTTGAATTTCACCGTTGAAAAGAATTTATGATCATATTAATGTTAGTCTATAATGGTATTTGTTTGTTTTGGTCTTAGTAATCAGTCAATATTCTAACAAAAACATAGCACAGTGCCTGTCATCTTTGTTTGTCATGATGACACATGGCTAATAAACTATCGGTATACAAACACAGTTTGGGGTGTATATTTGTTTAGATCAATATACATATAGAAAAACACTGATTTACTTTCGTTTTTGATATAAAAAGATATTATTTACTTATCAATAACTGGATATGGTGTCGGTCACAGGTATTTTGCATCAGAAAAAAAATATCTGAAATATTTCCAGGCCCCATGTTATTAGGCATTTATTTCTGCAATAAGTGCAGGGGCCAAAACAACTTCTAACTAAACTTATTATAACTAGACATAAAAAACTATTACAAAAGTTGTGGGCAGTGTTCAAGCTGGATAAATACTGTATGTAATTTTGTGCATATTTCCATTTTGATCTGAATGGCCAAGTGAGTTTATGCCTTGGTGCATCGTCCGGCGTCAATTTTTCCTTCTAAACAACTTCTTCTCAATAAACAATGGACCAAATGATATTTGGCTGGTATGTTCCCAGGATGAAGCCCGACAAATCTTGCGAAATGAAATCACCTTGATGTGTACAACCTTTAAACAACTTCTTCTCATTAACTAATAGACCTAGTTTAAATTTTGAATTTGTGCATAGAGTAAAAAGCTTTCAGTTCATAGTGCTATTTTATACTAAGCTTGATATGAATATTTTCTCTTTTCTCTTTATAGTATTAACTTATTAACAAATAAAGGATATAGTTAGTAATAGCCACAATACTCCAGAATGGACACAGGATCTCAGCAAACCCAGAGTTTTTGGATGCAAACATTTTTTATAGATATACAACATCTTTAGATGATGTACTATCTACCATCCTGAGTTGGCTGGCAGAAGTGAATCATGACTAGCATTCAAGATATTTGATTTTTGTATTTTTTGTATTTTATCAATTGTTAGATAACTATTGTTTAATGTTCAGTACTGTATGGTCTGTTAAGTTTTTGTGGTTGTCTTGAGAAATGGGCAGATTGCCTGGAAAATTTGGGGAAGAATTTCATGTACACTGTTGGTATTACTCCTTTGTTTAAATTACTGATTTGATGTCTTCTCATGGTATAGTAAACATACTTACCTCTCAGTGTTAGTAGGTGACCTCTGACCTTATGCAGTTTAGTCATTGGAAGCCTTATATCGCATAAAATATTTTTTTTACTATAGCATGAAAATTTAAACATGAAATATCAGTTAATTATGTAGAGAGGTAAAGGGAGTAAGGGAGTAGAACCTACTCCTGTTATCTGGTGGATCTAAGGGTCCTTTACTCTTCAAATGGAGGAGACTGAGTCTGCTGCTGGACAGACCCTATAACCAACACCTATATACGTCACGTCTTCAGATGGAAATGATATATTCTTGTTACCAACTGAAAAAAAACACTGGAGATACAATAACTAACTATGAGAAGAAGAGGTAAAAAAGGAAGAATACAGAGAAAGGGTTGGCTCTCCAGCTATGGTGGCACCCAACTTCAAAGCTTTACATAAAATAAGCATTCAGGTAATGGGGTGCCAAAAGCACACATATTTCCTAAGAGGTGTGTAAGCAACAATATAGTGTAATAGGTTTACAGGCCCGGGTCAGCCCACAACCTCCAGACATAAACCATGAGTCTAGTTTTGCATGGTAGGCTGCTACCATGTAGAGCTTGGAATCTATACTTACTAAATCACCAAAGAAATACTAGAAATGTATTGATGATATTTACTTTATAAGGTGCATAGCAGAGAGGCACTTACTCCCTTTCATATTTTATATATGTTTTTCATATACTACACAGTTCATTGAACTTTATGTGGCTATGCATTTCAGGCCCATTAAAATCAACCATTTGTGAAATATGGAATTTTTAATGGAGAACTTATTTGTCTATAAATAACCAATGGAGATAAGCAAAGGTGACTCACTACAGCAGAATCAAATATTAAGGCTGAATAAAAGAATTCTATGTTTTTAATGTCTCCATATCAACACTATTTTAACTCCTAAAATTAATTCATATAGCTGTCTCCCATAATCTATCTTTTCAGGAATCATAACCGTTTTTTACAACAGGAAATTTCTTACCCCAAAAATGTTCTTATTGAGAAAAACAAATTCTACTCAAAAACCACAGAAAAATTCCATAACATACTGAGTTAGAGTGATATAGAAATGTTAAGGTTAGATACTAGGTCATGAACAGCAGGATTATATAATACGTTGTATATCAATACCAGGTACCAATTTTCTCATTTGTTACTAAGGTACAGATACTGCCACATCTGGGTCACGTTGGGAATTGGTTGCTATTTGTATTAAGATTCATGTGGTATATGTCTATTAATAAAATCCATTTACCCATAGAAAATAATTTGTATCTATAACCTGTGATATTACCGGTAACAGAAATGTGACATTAACTGACATGTCTTTTGAGTAATTGCTAAAAGTTATACAAAAAAGTTCACATGAGTATGACATTGAAATACCTAGTACTCTAAAGGTAGAGAGAATGGATCTAGTGCAGAATTTGGACCTTTTAAAAAAAGGATGCAAATTTAAGTTTTGGTTAGTAATAATAATATATGAATGTGTATGTTTTGTGGTACATATGTACTGGTATAAATTGCATTAATTTTCATAAAATAAATTTAATGAATAAATATCTTTTGTCATCTAAAGGTTTGCGACAGATGTTGATGTGGAGGATTTATAGGTTTATAAATCTTTAATTCTGAAACAGCATCTGAGATGATGACTTGTACTTCTGTAAGTAAGACAAAGGGAGACAACCAACAGTATACCAGTTTATATAAAACATTGATAACCAAATGAACAGTTCATTTGAATCTTCGAGATTCTTTTCTTTTTTTTTTGTATTACAAATCTTCATATTTTTCAACACATCCCCGTATTAGTTAAAGTAATACACGTAAATTTTCTCTTGCTTAAATGCAACTCATAGCACAAAATATTAACAGACTCTGAGAAATGCTAATATGTTTAACATAGTTCCTGGTACATATGTTTCCTATCTAAAAAACTGTAGAATCCAAGTCTGGACTTATAGAATCCTGTCTCTGAAGGTGCCATGATTAATTATATGAATTTTCCATGGAAACTTGTGATCAGGTCATGGAAAATAATTCATGTCCATTAATGTCCATGAAGTTGGAATGAAACTCCATGGACCAACAAGGCAAATCATGGAAAATGTACACAGAATTCCATAGGAATATGGACGTCAGGATTTTCATTACTGAAACAGCGTCATTCAGCATGAAAGAAAGAGAGAAAAATTGAGAAAAAAAGCACATAGAAATGTTTGACTTTGAATTTTTTTCCATGGAAGTTTTACATGGGTATATATGGTTACTACTGAAATTTTCATTTATTAAGATACTAATTACCTGACTTTTTTTTTACTTGTCTTACATCGTAGTTGAATATGCCATTCCGTGATGCCGATGAATTTCATTCTATAGCGAATAAAGAGAAGATGTCTCGAGGACAATCACTGACAGATGAGGTAGTTCAACTAAGTAAAACATATTGTTTTAACCTTGTTACAAACCGTAGGTACAATATATTGTTTACAAACCATTATGTCATTTTATCATGAGTAATTGAAATGATACTGTAGTCACACTTTAATGCTGGTAAGGCTTGGAAATTTCTACTTTGCTGAAGTCCCTATCATTTCTACATCATCCAGATTGTAGTCATTTAGATTGAAAGATTCAGTATTTTATTGTATCAAAGTAGAATTTAGCAAATGTTTAAATTTCAGATATTTCATTCATTTGCCAAGTATTAACACAGAAAAGTTAGATTTTGACACAGAATTTAATCTAAGCATTAGTTTTTGATCCAGCTAGCCAGAGGTCATCTATATTGGGTGTGGGTCACCAGTGCCGGAAGTTTTTTTATAAAAACACCTGACTTGTTTGCTTTCTTCAGGACAGGATTCCGTGGTTGTTAGCAATACATCAGTACATGCAGAAGTAGGTATACATTGTCATATTTAAATTAAAACACACCTTTTCTTTTTAAAATATAAATTGTTGTTCATAATTTCATTAAAATTCTTAATATTGTAATATTTAAATATCATTATATTATACCAAATGTAACTTTAAAGTAAAACTTTTAGTAAAATTGTACACCAATGCTATTTCATTGTCCTGTAATAAGCCTAAAACCTGCCTTTAAGTTGAAGTGGTAAGTAATGTGTTGTCTCCTCTTGGGGTTAATAGCAGGAGAAATACGGTAATTAGTCTAACCTATTTATTAAATCACCACCTGCCCCCTCCCCTCTCCAAAAAAACAAGAAGAAGAAAAATAGTGTAAATACTAATATATATATACTTCAGGATGTTTTTTCTACTGTTTGTTATTTATTGAAAACAGATGAGACTTCTCTTTATAAAAATATTATTGATAATGAATTGAAGTAGATAAAAAAAAAAGGTAATATAAGGACTTGTTATTACTACTCTTGTCAAAAATTAAAATATACTTTATATATTTGAAGTGAAATACTGAAATGTGAAAGACAGTTTTATAATTTAATATGTAGAAATTTGATGAAAAGATTAAAAAATGTCACTAATTTTTTGTGTTTATTTTACAGATTGGAATCCCAAAAGATTGATGGAGTTGTCACTTGTTCTGGTCTCAAGAAAATGTATAGACAGACCCTTCTGGAAGGCATCACAACAGCTGATTCTAATTCTCAGTCTTCATCCAAGAAATGTTTGGATAAAGCATCAGTGTTATTTGTTCTCTTGCATGGTGAAGAGGAGATACTACAGAGAAGAATGGACTTGCGAAGGAATCATTTTATGCCTGCATCACTTCTTCCGTCACAGTTGGCCACTCTAGAACATCCAGATGAAACAGAACACTTCATTAGTGTAGATATAGACAATAGTGTTGATGATATTGTTAACCAAATTGTCAAGGTTATTCAAGTATCTTAACAACACTGGATATTTGCTCAATGTACAATGTAGATGGCAAGACAATGAATACCATTTATCTTTTCTATGGCACCGTAAAATTTCCAGGGGAAAATTTTGTTGGCACAGAAAGTTCGTTATAATGGTGCTATTTCTATGTGTCACTTTGATACATTTGATCAAAATGCTGTTCATATCATACTGATTGTGGTTTAACAGGCATTGAATATCCTGTTTGCAGAAGCACTGAACCCAAAAGCTACCCTCATATTCCCAGAAAAGGTTTCTTTCTTGACTTTGTTGAATAAGTCAAGGTCATTTGAGTAATAATGAGTGCAGGAGGTCAACACAAAATCCCTGACTGAAGGTTGGGTGGTGGGCTTATTGAAGGTAAATGACGAAGTATTTGTTAGCTTTTCTTATATTGCAGAAGTTGTTGTTGGGCTTATGTAAGTATCAATAGACATAGGATTATTGCTTCATCAATACTGTCCAATCACCACACACAACTATACAAAACCTTTAAATAAATTCAACTTCACAATTTTTGCTGTTGTATACAGACATATTCAACAACTATAATATATGTCTTCAAAATTTTACTTTATAGATATCATGTATATATCCTGCAACATACTTATCAAGCTTAGCTGATCTGTTACAATGTAGGGAGGTGGGTTATTACAATGATACAGCATCTGTTGACAAAGTCTTATGTCCATTGTTGTGCATCATGTGTCATGCGTCTTCCATGGTGGTTGTCCATTACAAACAATTTACATTTTTTGCTTTTTCCTCAATAAGCAGACAGCCCAGAGTTCTGATAATAGGACTGTTTCATGCTGAGATGAAGGGCTACCAAGTTCTTTTCAAATGAATGACCTTGACCCTCTTTCAAGGCCACAGGGGTCAAATGTTTGAGTAACAGTATTAATTCTTAGCTGGAATTACAAAACAGGTTGAAATTTTGTTGTTAAGGAGGTTCAATGTTTTGAAAACTTCATTGTAGGGCCTTAAGAATAGGATTTGTTAAAATTTTCTCAATGGCATTTAAATTCACACTTGCAAATACAATACACTGCGGGCTTTTTAATCTGTTTGCTAAATATTTGATAAGGCAGTTTTTTTAATTTGTGTTTGTCATTTGTTATTAACAACAAAATCAACTCAGATGAACATTAAGGCCTATGGGCCCCTTGTTATTAAAACTTCAGTAGATGGGAATGGGCTTATTGCCAGATGAATATGTTATTTGTATTGAGTACTTCTGCAATTTACAACCAAGATATCATTTCAAGGAAAAAAACATTCATGAATACTAAATTATTCTTCACAAATTTCTTTATTCTGAAATCTTATTTACTGCATTTTATTTTCCTGGTTTATCTGTTGCCAGGGAAACAAGGAATGTGTTCAAAAAGTGAATATTTTACGTTACCATGGTTAATGTTAAGTTAATAAAAACCTTTTCACTTGTCAGTCTTTGAGTTATCAAGAGTTCTTTTTGCAAGGAGATATGAAAAAAATAATTGAAGTATAAAATCCAAGAGAAATGTTCCAAATGAACTGGAAGTTTATCAAATATTAAGCTACCCTTAAAAAGCATGATATCTAGGTGATAGGTTCCTATAAGGAATCCCAATAAAGTTTGGTAAAAGAAATGACCTTAACCCGTATTCAAGGTCACAGCCGGGGTCAAATTTATCAAAACCTTAAAACAAATTCTGACTAACCATGCAGTGAAGAAGTATGGAATTCAGCTGATAGGTTCCTATAATGAATCCCAATAAAGTTTGGTAAAAGAAATTACCTTAACCCGTATTCAAGGTCACAGCTGGGGTCAAATTTGTCAAAACCTTAAAACAAATTCTGACTAACCATGCGGTGAAGAAGTATGGAATTCAGCTGATAGGTTCCTAGGATGAATCTGGACAAAACTTGCAAAAAGAAATGCTAGGTTCCTAGAATGATGATTGACATTTTCAAAGAAAAGACCTTGACCCGTATTGAAGGTCACAGGGATCAAAGTTCTTGAAACCTGTGAAAGACGTCTTCTTGTAAACCAAAAGACTGGGAAGTATGAAATTTTGTGGAAAGGTGTTTCTAAGTGAAAACCCAACAAATTTTGAGGAGAAAAAAGTCTTAACTCTCACTGTTTGGAGTTGAGTATTGTAATTTCATTGTTGTGGATACTGCTTAAAATTGATTGGGGTGTGCCCACTTTGAATGCCAATGGTGTATATGTAAATATATTTGTGATATTAACTCTGATGATATGTTTGATGAACATTGTATACCACGTGAGCGATGTAGGCCCATTTGGCCTCTTGTATATGTATGTAAACAACATGTCATCATACATTGTAGTTTGTACTGATCCATGCTTGACATGATTAGCCAGTTAATTTTGTTCAATTTATATTTCTGAACTAGATCATTTTCATCAAACATAGCCTACATAGTATGCTGCAAAAACACTACTACAGTAAGGAGAACATGATTTAAGCAACTCCAAGGAGTTCTCCAGAGTTAAGTAAGGTCTGTTGAAAATGTGGAAATCATGAGGATAAAAACCAATGGAAAGCTGCAAGGAAATTAACAACATTCATAGGATCACTCCTTGGAGAAGAAAGTGAGGGAAGCTGACAGTTCAAAAAAAGACATTAAAAACTGCAGACTGATGCACATTTGCTTTTAAATGTTTCACTAATGTGACAGAAAAATGCTATGGATGATTATGCTTAAAAGCTTTAAGTTATTAATGAGAAAATGTTTTGGGTTTTTGTAACAAGAGATCCCAGAGGGAACACCATTGCTTGATCTTTATTTTTTCTTTGAAAAGTTTGATATTTCTCTTCTCTCCATTCTACAGTTCTTCTGTCTAATGATCTAGTATGGAAATCAGACTTCCTCTTAGCAATAAAATCTGACTCCTGAGTGAAAGTAGAAGGCAGTGTCTATTTGACATTGTTTAGCTTCCACAGGACAGGACTGCCTATTTAACCAGAGTTTAGTTGACATTGTTTAGCTTCCACAGGACTGCCTATTTAACCAGAGTTTAGCTGACATTGTTTAGCTTCCACAGGACTGCCTATTTAACCAGAGTTTAGCTGACATTGTTTAGCTTCCACAGGACTGCCTATTTAACCAGAGTTTAGTTGACATTGTTTAGCTTCCACAGGACTGCCTATTTGTTGTTTCTCTCTGAAGGTCAATCTGCTAATGAGGAAACTGTTCCACTATACCAAAGCAGATTTTAACAGTTTTCATTTACAGTCCTTAACTGTTTTCCCTCTCCAAGAATTCATTAGCTGTTTAAAAGGCCAAATTATTTAAATGAGTTTGCAGTGAACTGTTAAGGAAGGTTAACAGATTGCTTACATGCAAATTAGATCCTGAAGGAACTACCAGGGAATGCTAACAAACAGTCTCTATGTAAATGGGTATCACAAAATATGGACAGCCTAGGAATGCTTCAAACTTTTAAGAAATGCCAACATGCAAATTAGTTATTCCAAATATAGTAACATCTAACTGCTTAGAAATGTGAAAAACTGCTTAGAACAGTGAATACATCACAAATTATGTACTGTTTTCCATACAATACTTATGCTTTCAAAAGTTTTCAATTTCAATTTGTGAGGTTTAATCACGAGGAAATACATTTCACATGTTAATGAATTAACAAGTTAGTTCCATTAACTTGATTCTGCTTGTGTCCTTGAATTTTTTTAACTGATTTAAAGTAGCTAGACTGTACTACAGGGTTGTGTTAGGTACCCTCTGATATAAATATAGTCCTGTTACTGAATTACTGTCTTATAATCCATGGACACCATATCCTGCTTTACTTCAATGAAATTTCCCTTCAAAAGCCATACAAAAACAAATAGCATTACCTCATTCAGGTCATGGGTGCGCTTGTTAATATTATCGAATCATCTTACATGTCACAAGTATCCCGAAGGCCTTGTGCATACTCCAACACACTTAAAATTTTAACCTCGTTTTGACTTTTATTGCAGGTATTCACGAGTATTTCATTGAATGCTAAGAAGCAATCGTTTTTGTTGAACTGTTAAGGAATGTTTAAAAACGGTTAGTAACAGATAGGAAGGCTAAATAACTACTTCTGACTGCTAGTATAAGCAGTCCATTTTGCCTGTGGGTCATATCCAAGATGATCACTCGTTGACCATTTGTTTCTCTAAACGATCCAAAAATGAAAAGGACACAAGGAAGTAAGAGAAACCTGCATATAAATTTAGATGAAGATCCATGCAATATGTATCAAGATATAGCTTAAGCAAGCTTCCATTGGCAAAATCCCAGCGGGCCGTCTCTCAGCTATTTTGTTTTTCTGGTGGAGTTTTATGAAAAATCCATCTGGTACTTCTAAAGAAAAACCTATCAAAACACTTTTATTGTCCAAAACTAATATGACAGTATCTCGGCATTTTTTGTTTTCCAGTCCCAAAATCGAAAGAACAAATCTAGAGACCATGGAGAACCTACATATGAAATCTGAAGAAATTCCACCGAGTACTTTTCAAGAAAGAGCTATTCATGTTACATCGTCAAAATACAAAACGGCAGACTCTCAGCCATTTTGCTGTCTTCCCAGCACCAAAATCAAAATGGCGCAATTAGGTACCAAGGAAACCAACATTGTAGATATAGGACAACGGGGATAGGGAACACTACAGCTACATGTACAACAATAGGATACAACTAAGAAAGATAAAAAGAGGAAGCTGTTACAAGACAAGATCAGGAAAATGGAGAAAGACTGGTTAGCGATAACCAGCTAGTAGTGAAATTTTCAAAGATGAATTAAACAAAATTGAGAACATTCTAAATCATTTCACAATTCTAGATTTATTGAAACAAATCAGATTGATATATTTTGAGCACTAATTTTGCCTTGAAAATTCGTGTATTTTCTTTGACAATAATTTCATTTTTTCACTCACCACTGGTTAACGCCAACTAAATTTTGAGTAACCAGGGACAGAGAGGCAACAATGGTGGAGACAGGGGGTTTCATGGAACATATAGTGTGAAATTAATCGACAGAAGACTGACGGTCTGACAGCTAGCAAATTGAATCATGTCAAATCGAGTCCCTCCTGAAGCCAGTGTATGACCTGCTTCAGTCACCAACAGACATTTAAAGCTGGGCATCAACAGAAGATGGAAAATATCATTCTTTCGCGACAGACTACACGCACCCTCAGTCACCTTCTGTTTACTTGTAATGCAGCTCTCAAAATGTTGATCACACATTTGTAGACAGTCCAGAGAGAACTAAATGTTTACACATTAGAGGAGGGAAGAAAGAAGTCCCCTAGTGGCTAACCATTCGAAACTTTGTAACTTTAGAAGTAGGGAAGTCAATAACACCTCACTAACTGGAATCCTGGAAAGTGTGCAAAGCTGGGAAATGTGACTGGTCAGCAAAAAAAATGGGGATTTTTCTCACACATCATCCACAAAATTTTACCTGGACAGAAAAGTTTCGGCGCTATAGGTCAAGAGCAAAGATATGAGAGCGGCGGCAGAACTACCATCAAAGTTGGCCAAGAAAATGTCTTGCTGGCTCTAGTAGCTTTGATACATCAAAGTTGACATCATGTATCTAGAGCATAGATTTGTTTTTGCTTTATTTTTTTAAGAGTTTGGTGAATCTTTCATTTCTGATTTCATATGAAGGTGACGCTCGTAGTTTTAGATTTATCCAATGAACAAAATGGCTAACGGCGGCATTTTGTTTTATTGCAATTTCTTACAGGGTTACGCGGGATTATTTTTCTCAAGTTAAATATCGTTAAAACTTCTTACACAATTTCAAGTTTAACAAGTAGGATTGATTTGAAAGTTGTCATGAACGATTCCGAGAGAGTATGGATCAAATGATCTTATCTCTCAGGCAGGTCCTAAACCCATCTTAGAAAAGTCTTCTCGACTTCTATAGGTGTCAGCAGAGACATATATATATATATATATATATACATATATACGTCTCTGGTGCCAGTGAGCTGAAAACTGGTGGGAATATTAAGAATTAGGTGAAGTATGTACTAGATCTACATATACCATTCAAGGGGAATTGTGTAAACTTAAAACATCTCCGATATGTGAGTTGGTAAATCATAGTTATGTTATAATTTTGGAACTATCTCAACAAGTATTGCTGGTATTTATATTTAATATACATCTATGTATATAACTCAGGTCTTAAAATGTTTAGTACCTATACAATGAAACCCGACTTTGTCGGACGTTGTTACTAATATTATTTCCATGCAGACTTTAGCGATACTGCCTTTAGCTTCTGCTTGATCATGATCATATCAATGTCTCAGTCAGACAGACGCTTATGGTATTTGCAAAACAAAACATAAACATAGAGCGACGAAAGAAACAAGGCTAACTGGAGTTAGTGAGTAAGTAGGCTATATTCTGAATACTATCATACACTCGAATAAACGTTATGCCTTTAAATTCCCTGCAACTTCTGCAGGCCGCTGAGTTACCCATCAAGACAACCCCAACACTCGATGTATGCTGGGTCAAACTAGACTAGAGTGGAACAAATTAACACAAAATATAGTGAAACTTCCATTTGTACCCCGCCATAATGCCAGGAATATCTTTAACAATAAGTAACAGTTATTTTTCTTAAAATGACTTTTACTCATAATATATTTGTTTATTCCGTGTGTAAATAGCTTTTCCAATGAGCTCTTTAACAAGAACCCTTTCCAAGTTCATCTGGATATCTTATCTGTAATAACAATAGGTTGGAGTTACGAAAATAAGTTTAGTGTACACCTTTTACACAATGGCGTCTCTAGATAGGTTCCTTACTTGGATTTGAGAGGATTCACCGGAATCCTTCATGCAACATTTTATTACAGAAGAGAAAACACTTCTGAACTAAGAGCCATTGGTATAAGTAAGTCATCTCGTAAGATTGGCATTTTATTTGTGATCTCATCTGGACAAGTTACTATACCCATAACGGTATTGTATGGCAAAGAGAAATATGTGATTGGACCAAAATCAACACGAATATCAAGATGAGACAATGATTGTCTCATCAATAGACAAATGAGGAACTACAAATTCACTTTGTTATGATAAAGTTGATAAGTCTAGCAAGTTTGATGTAGAATCTTGATGACTGAGGGATAGAATTTCAAAAACATTTTAAAAAACTGCAAATTGAACTTTTCATGATAGAGAGTAGCAGTGGTTTGTATACAGTGTTAAATATGGTCTCAGTCTGAGTATCATCGTACATGTCCTATCAAGCATTAGTACTGTAAAGAAATTCTATTTCAAAGCAGTACAGTACAAATTGTTTTAATGTCTTCATATTGTAGTCCTTCAAGTTCAGCTCATTGTACATTCCTATCTTAATGATAAAGAGTATGTTAAACCTTAAAAGGCAAATACACACAAGATTGATACATCTAAATGTTTTCTTTTAGTACAGAAATGGAGGTTACAGACTCATCCTGTGGTAAAAAGAACAGCAAGGGTGGAGATGACACAAAGAAGGGATCACCAGACAGATTAGCTGGGGGACGAAGGAAGTTACTCTCTCCAATGAGAAGATTTGCATCATCAGGCCATGCTGGAGCATTCCGACTAGTGTCTCCAATAGACAGTGATCAGGAACTGAATGACCTGGAGGTGGCCTCAGTGCTGGCAGAAGGTACTGCAGATTGCCTCATTCATTGTAAATACTCAAGCAGATCTAAAACCAACTTACTGTTGTGTCAAACTATGTAGAATAATATATCATTTTTGATACCGAAACATGTTGCAGAAGTTCTTTTATTAAATGTTTTTGATTAAACAATCTACATCTGTAAGACTGTTGAATTTTGTTTATTCTTATTCATAATTGTGTAGGTTACAGAATGATAGTACTTCAAGAACAAATTCAGCCTAGAATATTTTGTAAAGAAAATCAAATAAAATATTCTCTTTTTTTAAAACAAACATACAAGTAATAGAACAGGAGACATTATCCATTGTTTGAAGAATGTACATTTTTATTTACTCATTGGTTTTAACATTATATTAATTGTTTTATCAGGGAATAAGGAAAGTTCAGATTGTGTCTCCCCTACAAAATCAAAACGTCATGAAACACCATTTCGTGTGAGTATTCTGTATGCTTAACAGGCATTAGTTTGCTACCAAGCATCTCGAAATAAAACCATGAGCCCAAATCTATTAAATCATTTATTTAGTCATCACCACAGGATAATGTAGATTTTGTAATAATTCCTAAATAAAGATATTGTCAGCTGTTTATTACACTATATTTATGAATATTTATCTTTGACCCCTGAGACCTTGAAAGTAGGCCATGGTCATTCATTTGAATAAAAATTGGTAGCCCTTCATCCCAACATACAACAAGCCAAGGCCCAATATCAGTAACCTGGATCTTTCACTTATCAAGAAGAACTCTTTAAATGGAAAGGTTGATGCCAAGATGGATGAAAATGCCACACAATGGCTTCAGCAAAAATAATGAATATTTTTTAAATTCTATCAAACTCTGTTTTAGCCAACAACAGTGATGACAAATCTTCAACGAGGCAATGTTCAGACCACTACGCCTTTAATACTGAAGAGTAAGAATTTCATTTTACACCTAACAGATATCCATAATGTTCAAAGACTTCAAGCATTTATTGAAACATTGTGAAAAAAACTGCTTGTCAGTATTTTCTCTAAAGGATTTTTTTCTTCCCCATTTGCTTGAGAATGATTTTTTTCCTTTATCATTTTTCCAGATTTGACAATCCATCAGCTTGCTGCCCAGGGTGAATTGGTCCTACTTCAACAAGAAATCTCTGAAGGTAATAACAGCTCCTTTTAAACATGAAATAAATTTTTAGTAATCTGCATTCTATAGATTTTGAAACAAATAACGAGATTTCATCATATATGAAATTGATATTGTTATCCCTAGTTTTAAATTTATAGGTCCAGTTGTAAATATTTGAAATCAAATAATTATATGGACCAAACTTGTGCTTTTGAAGGTCAAGCATGCTTGTGACCCCTGTACTTTCATTGTTAGGGCTGATGTTTTCTGAGGTCAAGCATGTACATGACTCAACCTAAGTTTATACTTATTGAGGTCAAACAGGTACATTATCAACCCTGGCCATGGTCTATGCTTTTTCAGGTCAAACAAGTACATGACCCCATTCTATACATAATGACCTTATTGTATGCTTTGTGAGAAAAAAACAACATGGTATTTATATGCACAGGAACAGATATCAACAAGCCTGATGCCGCTGGCATGACAGCCTTACTGTGGGCCAGCGCCAATGGTCAACAGGCCACTACAGAGTTCTTGGTGGATAAAAATGCTGACATCAATGTGTGTGGGAAACATGGTGAAAATGCACTCTTGTTGGCATGTTCAGGAGGATACACTGACATTGTCTACTACCTCCTCAGTCTAGGCCTCGATGTCAACTACAGTGATGAGGTGCGAAGTCAATGTGTGTGACTTGGTTTAAGTATTTGATGTTGAGTTATCATATCTATGTTTCAATCCAACTCACAGTAAGGGATGAGATTATTTCATAGCAATTTTATCTTTTAGCTGATCAGCAAAACAGACATGGACAGGCTTGTCACTGAGCATGGGCATATTACAAGATATATATTTTTACCCATTAAATGATGAAAACAGTTGATTTCTGTACGAACTTAAACTCTTAATATCTAAATTTCAAAAAGTAAAAATCATATCCATATCAAGTTCTGTATTTATTTCATCAGTGCAGTTGACCTAGTACTCAAAGTGTGGTTGAACAGAGAGAGTGGGGATACTTCTTGACTAAGATATTGAATATCAACAGTCCTTATGATGATTTCTAATCAGTAAAATGTTTCCACATCTGGAGACATTCATTGTTAGTTGTAATAATGTTGTGGTTTTGTTTTAGTCTGGTAGCACTGGACTGATGTATGCCTGCTACAGGAATCATACAGGTTGTATACAGGCCCTCCTGGAGTATGGAGCTGATATTACACATACAAATGAAGACCAGCTCACTGCCATGGATCTAGCAGTGGGTCAAGGTCATAAAGCAGGTATGTTACTATAAATATAACAGAAGTGAAAATTGACATAAGGACAACAAGACTAAAGTTTGGAATTTTGAAATCTTTCTATGGGTAAAAAATTGAAATTTTTGTTTACCTTTTCTCAAGCACTTTAATTAATTGAAAAAACATCAAATTTGTTTTTGCCTAGTCGGTCCAGTGTGTATTTGATGTAGTGATATAGTACAAATGTTACAAACTTTGTCTAAAGGTCAGCATCAGTATTTTAGGTTGTTTATGAACTGAATTTTTTTTTGAGAATAATAAGTAGATTTACTAATTGCCTTACATTGTTAATTTTCGTTTACAATAACAAAATTTTAATGTTTTAATTGATAAATAATTACTAGTAATTTTCATTTTCTCTTTGGTTGATTTAGCCCAGCAAACCATTGAACAACATATCCTGTCTTTGTTTGGGAGCTCAGCCCATTATATACCAGAAAAACTATGATCATTGATAGACTGGTTGGATGAGTGAATACTCTGGTTCCAAAAATAAATCTATGTGAAGTTTCCCAATCCATAGGGAATCCAGATGGAGGATGCTAAACCTCTCCAGGTTAACAGGTAAAGGCATTCCAACAAAGGATATCGATACCTCAACAGGTTAACCAGTTAAGGGGTCACAATTAAGGAAGCCAAGCCTCATTAAGGTTTATGGGTTAGGAAATCCCAATGAAGGACACCAAACCTGACCACCTCACCAGTGTTACAAGAATCCCATTGAAGGGGAATACCTCACCAGTGTTACAGGACACTGAACCTCACCAGTGTTACAGGTTACAGAATCCCAATGAAGCACAATTTACCTCACCAGTGTTACAGGTTACAGAATCCCATTGAAGGACACTTGACATCACTAGGGATACAGGTTACAGAATCCCAATGAAGGACACTAAAGCTAACTAGGGTTACAGGTTACAGAATCCCAATGAAGGACACAGAACCTCACCAGGACTACAGGTTACAGAATCCTAATGAAGGACACTGAACCACACCAGTGTTACAGGTTACAGAATCCCAATGAAGCACAATTTACCTCACCAGGGTTACAGGTTACAGAATCCCAATGAAGCACAATTTACCTCACCAGTGTTACAGGTTACAGAATCCCAATGAAGGACACAGAACCTCACCAGGACTACAGGTTACAGAATCCTAATGAAGGACACTGAACCACACCAGGGTTACAGGTTACAGAATCCCAATGAAGCACAATTTACCTCACCAGGGTTACAGGTTACAGAATCCCAATGAAGCACAATTTACCTCACCAGTGTTACAGGTTACAGAATCCCAATGAAGGACACTCGACATCATCAGGGATACAGGTTAGGGAATCCCAATGAAGGACACTGAACCTCACCAGGGATACAGGTTACAGAATCCCAATGAAGGACACTGAACCTCACCAGGGCTACAGGTTACAGAATCCCAATGAAGGACACTGAACCTCACCAGTGTTACAGGTTACAGAATCCCAATGAAGGACACTGAACCTCATCAGTGTTACAGGTTACAGAATCCCAATGAAGGACACTGAACCTCATCAGTGTTACAGGTTACAGAATCCCATTGAAGGACACTGAACCTCATCAGTGTTACAGGTTACAGAATCCCATTGAAGGACACTCGACATCACCAGGGATACAGGTTAGGGAATCCCAATGAAGCACAATTAACTTCACCAGGGTTACAGGTTACAGAATCGTAATGAAGGACAATTAAACATGTTAACTGGTAAGGAAAAAATTGAATTTAAGGACAATGAACCTTGTAAGATTTATAGGTTAGGGAATGCCAACAAAGGACAAGTTTTAATGATCTTACCTGGCTTACAGGTTAGAGACTCCTAGCTAAGGACAATAGATAATGTTGATATGATCTCTTCTGACTAACATGTGAGCGACTTAGAAGATATCATCTGGCTTACAGGTTAAAGACTCCTAATTCAGGACAATACTGTTGATTATGTGTAACTGATCTCAGGTGGCTAACAGGTTAGAGACTTAATATATTAATATTTGGGACTGATCAGAAGAAACAAAATGGCCAACAGGCTGCCATTTTGGATTTGGCAGTTGAAGATTATTTCTTATCATTAAGAGCAAAAACTGAGAAGAGAAAAGAAGTGAAAAGATCTAACTTTGAAAGAACAAGTAAAGATCAGTCAATAGTGGGGGCCAAGATCCCTCTGGGATCTCCTGTTTTTTGTTTTGTTTTTTCCAATTTTACATGTGTCTATTTTCAAAATGGGGGAAATAGTTTGGAAGGTGTGATATTTATGAATGAATGATCAGTCATGAGTCCGAGTGTGTAAGAATAATTCATTATTGACGTGTTTTTAATTGTTCATTGTATTTAAGTGGATGTTTGTTATTGATCTTGAGTTGTTTAATCATCACCATTGCTTGCTTGGGCTGTCCTCTCGGCATTTACAATAGTTCCTTTACTTTACATTGTCACTTCCTTTCCACTTTCAATTCTGCTCTGATTGGTTAATAGCCTGTATCTTTACAGAACTAGTTGTAACATGGATATTAGGCCTGTGTAGTTAACGTTGGGTCATTACCTATGTTGTATAATATGATGTGTTGTGTCTCTTGTAGGCTGTATTTTACTTGTGACTTCTATTTTCATATTTACAAAATCATCAGTGCAGGTAAAATAAACCCTATCCATTTTCCTGTTGTTGGGTTGTCTTTTCTTGCACTCTTGTTAATATGGAACGAGACCAAACCTCGCGTCACCACATCTTAAACCTGGAATTGCCTTGACCTTGCATATGTGGTATTGCAGCACACTACATTTACACCTACTAGTATTACTTGTTAATATCATACAACATTGACTTTGCATGATGTGATGTTACCATTGCACTTATTTCACTGAAATTTTGCTGAAACCTTCCCTGGTCTTAAATGGACCAAAATTTAAATTATACAGTCCTCGCCCCCCAGGGCCTGAGGGGTGGGCTAAAAGGGGTCAAATTGATTCAGATTTCAAGAAGTTTTTACTCAAGACCCAGATATGGTAGAATAAAAAACTTTAATGATTGGAAACATCTTAAGGAGCTTTACCAAAATTGTGAATTTTACAGCCCCAGGGTCTCGCATATCCCTGTGGGAAGGGGGTTAAGTTTACTATAGTTTATAATGGAAAACTAGATTTTTGAGCACAATTTGTTTAATTTCCATTCGAAATATTTCACACTTGATTAGAATGATCAGTGAAGGATGACGGCACAATGGTATGCCCCTTTTGATCCTGACTGACCCCCAGGGGATGATGGGTGGGGCCAAAAGGGGTAAAATTGACTGAAATTTCAAAAGTCACAGATATGGTAGAATCAAATACTCTTCATGAATGCAAGCATCTTAAGGTGCCTTAATTACCAAAATGGGTCTAACATTTCTTCTTGGGGAGGAATTTTTGTTTAGACTGTAATTTTCATAGAAAAAAGATATTTTTGAGCATAACGTTAGTTATTTCCCACTGGAAATAAACTGTATAAGAATTATCAGTATAGGATGACAGTTTTGATGGAATGCATGTAATGACACTGTCTATATACAGTGTCACAATCTCAGTTTCATGACACTAGATAACTATCCTTTAACCTTTATATTCAATACTGCTGGTCTCAGGTGACCGTCCAGTCTGCTAGGCCTCTTGTTCACAAATTGGCCCCTGTAACCTTGAATAAGGGTCAAGGTAATTTCTTTTCACAGGCTTTGTCAGATGAACTAATAAATGAAGGGATGTTAACATTGTTCAATTTCTAATGTTTACATTGCTTCACGTGATGTTAACTTTGCATCGTATAATGATAAAACATTGTACAACATTCCAATATTCACATTGTACCAAATTATAATAAATTGTAAAATGTTGTAATGTTTAGATTGTGTTTTGTGATGTTTTCATTGCACTAGATGATCGATTTCATAAACCATATATAATGTTTACATAACACAATGCGATGACATCACCAGATGTATGTCTACACTGCACTAGATGTTGTCTACATTGTATGTGATACTTACATTGTACAAAAAATGTCCAAGTTAATTGCTGTTTTGATACTAATCTTAAATTGAAAGTATTCATAGATATTATATATTGGAAATGTTTACTTACCTTGGTATTATTCAATAAATACTAAATACAGATATCCTTCTGATTTCAGTTTACACAGATATCCTTCTGATTTCAGTTTACAAACAATTTATTTGTAATAAATTATAGTATTGTAACAAGTGATTGAACAATATCATTGAATGAATAAAGCCATTCACATTTTAGCTGTAGTACAATGGGCATGGATGGCACATATCAAGCTGGTGTGGACAGAAATGTGGCACAACTATAGTGCATGACTTTATGAACACATTATTGTAAATATGAATGAAACTACCGGTAAGTTGAACACAATTGAAGATGTATTTGAACTAGAGCAGGATATTGATACGACATTGAGGTTCCTGGTTACACACACTCACTCTCAATGAGTTTTATTTTGTACATGTCCAGTTCTATGAAGTTGATCTATTAGACATCTTCGTTCAACCCTCTTTAGCACTGCTGAATTAACTTGTACACCAAAATCCCTCACCAACATTGATACTGTCTGATGAACTCGTTCAGGTAAAGGTGAATGCAAGAGAGTTACCTGGAAAAGGAAGATACCATGTTTTTAGATAACTGAAGTAGCTAAGAGCTTACTGACTTTTTATGACTGACAGTCATGCACAAAAAACAAGACTTTTTTAGTTAGTAATTTTGTTCATCAATTAACATTTACACAAATGTCTAAAAATTTGAGGTTGCCAATTTGCAGTTTTATCAACCATTGAATTCAAATGACAAGAGGCCCATAGGGCCTGTATCGTTCACTTGGCTTTCTTTCAGCTGCAATAACTTCATCCAAATTAAAGGCAAAGATATTTTGAATTTCCACTATATCTATTTCTCTACTGGGTCTCATCCCCTCAGTCCTTAAGTGATCAGCCAAATATCTTGTGGTTTTTGCTAAGTTGGGACAGAATCCTGCAATCCCAAAGGCAGAATTTTACAGCATTTGCTCTATTTCCTGTTGAATGGGTCCTACCCATTTCACCAAAATGTGCCTTCATCCATCATTTATACAAAGTTGATTTTAATTTATTCAAGGATCCACCAAATTTGGGCAAAAATATTATCAATCCTACAGAAGGCACTTTTTTCCCCTATTGGGCCCCACCCATTCCAGCTAGCTGAGACTGGCCATGTATACAAAATTTATTCCTCCTCACGCAAGAATGCTTCAGACAAAATTCAGGGAAAATCTAATCATTCCTACAGCAGAAGAAGAAGTTTTAAATCTTTTTTTTTTTTCAAATATTTCACCTATAGGGCTCTGCCCCTCTGGCCCCAGAGTGCAGTGATCCACCAAGTACAAAATTTATTCCCCTTTGCCAAAGAGTTTCAGAAAAAACATTTGGGTAAAACCAAATCATTCTTACTGGAAGACTAGGAACTTAAAGAATTTGCACTTTTTCCCCTATTGGGCCCCACCTCTGGGGCCTTAAAATCTACCATTATACAAAATTCATTTCCCTTCACCCAAGAATGCTTAAGACAAACTTTGGCCAAAATCTAATCATTCCTCCAGCAGGAAAAGGATTTTATAGAATTTTCTCTATATCATCTATTGGACTCTGCCTGTCTGGCCCCAGACGGCAGAGACCTAACATTTATGTAAGATATTTGCTCTATTTCCCCTACTGGACCCCACCCCAGGAGGCTAAGATCAACTGTTTTCATAAAATTGTTTCCCTTTCACCAAAGAATGCTTTAGTCCAAATTTGGGCAAAATCAAATCATTTCTACAGGAGGTATAATTTTTAAAAATTTGCTCTATTTTCCCTAATGGGCCCTGCCCTTCCTCCCCAAGGGGCCAAGACCTTACGGCTATACAAGATTGATTCCCCTTCATCCAAGAATGCTTCAGACCAAATTTGGGCAATATCCCTTCATTCTTACCTGAAAAGTAGGATTTTAAATAATTTACTTTATTTCCCCTTTTGGGCCCTGCCCCACGGGGCAAAGGCCTAATGTTTAAACAAAATTGATTCCCTTTCACCCAAGAGTGCTTCAGAACAAATTTGGGCAATATCCATTCATTCCTACAGAAGTAGGATTTTAAAAGACTTGAAAAATTTCCCCTTTTGGGCCCAGTCCCTATGCCCCTTGGAGGCAGAGAACCAATATTTATACAGAATTGGTTTTCTTTCCCCCCAAAGGATATTTCTGATCAAAATTGGTCAAAATCTGTACTGTTGTTCAAGACTAGTAGTTATTGTTAGTAACGAGTTGACAGGCGCCGGACAGATGTTATGTCATTGTATAACCAAATGAGATAAACAGACAACTTGACAGTTGTTTAGACATACACTGTACATGTCTGCTTGGTATAGTAACATGAATAACAAATAAGTTACAAAATATAAGGGAAATTTTACCAAACAGGATTCGTATCCAAGTTTATACAGATGTCTTTTGCTGACTAATGTAAGTCCAGATGGTCGATCAAGCATACTTAAATGCTTTCCACTTTGCAAGCAGGATGACTGGGTTCTTTGCAAAATCACACTGAAATAAAAATGATCATTAGATGTGTTTTAACTTCTGTGTCTTGTTGATATAGATATGTGAAAATAGAAACCTTAATTCATAGAGTTGTATATAGAACCATGACTTGACCAAATCAAGCACCCATGAAAATGCACTTTTTTTAGAAACCCCAATAAATTTGAGAGCAATGAAAATATCATTTTATGGTATATAAAGATATTTTTAAACATTTTGTCACACTCTATAAACATTTTACAGTGTTGTACAAAATTCAATCCAAGCCAACTACAAGTTCTGCAACAAGGACAAAGAGTGAAATATTTGCAACATGTTATTTAACAACTGTGTTGCTAAGAGTATCCCGAACTCCCTGCACTACTAGGCTATTTAATGTCTATGAGACCATACATACATGGTAACAGTATCTATCATGAAGATAAATTTTTCCTGAAATGTGCTCTATGTTCTAAGATAGAATTTTCATGCAAAATTTGGTAATTATAAGGTGAAATAATGTCCATGACAATCCTTTGACATACTTTTTAAATAATTAAGGTCAAAGATTTTCACATCACCATAAATCTTAAGATATGGACACCATAGAAGTGGACAAAACTTATGATTTAAAATTAATTAGATGAAAATCAAATAACAGTAGAAATGTCCTCGCATACCTATACAGAGCATTGTCCCTCTTCACTAGTCAATGACTTGTTTGTTGTTTAAACAAGGATAAGTTTGTACAGAGAATGCCACTAAACATATTTTGTAATACCAGGTAATAAATATGGTCTTAATCATATGGTTTGTTAATTATGGTAAACACACTAAAACAATAACAAGACATAAGATAGCTCAACACTCCTTTCCTGATGTCTTGTTATTGTAACTACTGAGTGACTCCCTCTATAACTCACAGTATCCATTTCCCAGTGATTTACTACCTAAGGACCTTACCTACATATTGGACTGGTGTTGGCTCATTCATACTAAAACAAGACATTTTACCCTCAAAATGACCTTGGCTGTTCACAGTGGAATAAACCCAGCAAACAAACAAACTTTTAACAACTTGTGATCAATAGACTTCTTGTTACATCTCAACCAAATCTTTGTTTTGATGTCATAACAAAAGTCCTCAATTGCATTGAACATTTAGTAATGACCCTGACCTTGTAACCTAAGACCATGTGACTATCATCAGTCGTGAATGATAGAAAATAATTAAACATATTTCCCACAATACATTTCTTATGACCCTTACCTTGTAAATTGTGATCATGTGACTATCATGTGATCATGTGACTCTAGTGAATAACTAATGATATTGACCAGAACACATTATCATCATTCAACAATCATCAAATGAAACCTGCATAAGACGCAGTAAGCGTGGAAGAAATAGGATCCATATTTTACAACTTTGCAGAATCTTTATAGATCAGTGTATATATCATCCTCATATACAATTACAAATCATACAATGTACCCCCTCAATATGAATATACCTGCTTACTTTTTAAATCTTATATTAAACTTACATCCGTCTACCTCTTTTTGACATCAATTCCTTGTCCATCATTTCCTCTAAAAGATCCTCATATTTTGTTGGTGTAAAGGGTACTGGTCTGTTGTTTTCATCTAAACGAATTTCCATGACTGAAATACAGAATACAGAATTTTCCAGCTGAATGAAAATAAAATTTTTCTCACTAATACATACATACTTATTTTTCAGTCTCTTATTATAAAAGACTATGAATTACTTTTTCTTACTTGCAGAAATATCTGATTCTAAGGCAGCTAAAAATGTCAAATGTGACATAAAGTGATAATTGTCCGTCAGCCCCCATGATTACAATGTAACATATCTGTAAGAGCACATCGACCATCCCTTATTGTGATTCAGTAGAACTAGTTCCAACAAACTTTGTTTTATTAACCTTTAATAAGCCCACCCTCTAGTCAACTTGAGCCATAGATAAATTGTTAGTCGTCAAATCTTATTAGAGAAAGTAGATACTCTTAAGAGAGTTAAATGTAACAAAGGAAATGAATCACAGTTACCTCCCCTGTATTACTTACGATTTGTGATGTATGGCAGAACAGTATGATGTACAACAAATTTTCCTTGTAACAATTCATTCATGTAGTTGGTGAAATCTTCAAAGTATTGATATGATGGTACAGCAATATCCTGCTTCATGACATGCTCCATCTCCCCCTGAAAAATAATCCTAAAAATCTTTTAAAGTGCCTTTTTGAATCATTAAAATTTATCACAGAATCCATCTGTTATCCTGGGAATTTGCCTATGTCATATTTCTGTTGAGTCTGCCATGAATTAAGTGTAGCAAAGCTCTGCAACTTGCTTACTTATTTGTTGACTAGTAGACCATTCTGGAATAGCAATATGTTAACATACCCCTGGATTATAAAAGGAAAGACTACATTAAAATGGTGAAGGGAGATTGATGTTTTTTTTTTCATTCGGCCACCTTTAAGAGAGGTACTTTCATTACATATGACCACAGACTGTAGTCTGGGCAGTAACAAACAACATAATCAAAAGATGAGTAATATCATTCTAACAATGACTGATATCCAACATATCTTAATGTTTATTTGTTAACAAGGGTAAAACATTCTGAGTTACATGTCTACCAGACCTACATTGTAGGGAAATAAGTCTCCCCAATTTAACAGGTATTAGTAGAAACCATTATAAAAGGTGTGTCCTGAAGAAATCCTATTAATTGGCAAATCTTGTTCACAAATCAATAGCTTTATAAACCTAACCCCATCACCTAGTATGATTGATCCATACAAAATTATTTACAGAGAGACTGAAGAACTTAAACTTTATAAACCTAACCCCATCATCTAGTGTGATTGATCCATACAAAATTATTTAGAGAGATATTTCAGAACTTAAAGGAGTTATCAGTCTACTGCAAAGGCAATTTTTTCAGTGGCTCAATTTTCAAGGATAAATTTGAAAGGAATTTTTTCACATGCCAGTAAATCAGTGGACCTTTCTATTTCATTTTCAAGGTACAGACATCTCCTTTTGCACAGTTTTATTTAATCTTCAAAAATAGCAGAAAACTGAACCCTTTGATAAGACCATTTTTATCGTATTATCTATAAAATAGTTATGGAATCACCATCAAGACCGCTTTGGTTTTCATTGGGTCCAGTTTCCTTCGATAGCAAGATCCCATACTTGCTTTCAGCCAAGCCAACAAGTGATTTATACAATGAATTTCACGGTATTTGTCCCACAATGGTAATTGTAATTATAAGGTATCCACTAATATCAAAGATTTCTAATTAATTGTACATCAGTAAGATCCTATCTTCCTACTTTCTTACCCTCGGAATTTTCTTGAGCTCAACATCTGGACAATCAATATCCATGCAGACACGAAGAAAAATATACAACATTCCTTTACGTGTGTAATTGTTTTTCTCAAGTTGTTCTGTGAAAACAAAAGAACATTATACATGACCATACAAAGAAAAAAGGTTCAATGGGCCTGTGTATAGCAAAACAACGAATACTTGAAATTAATGTCACCACATAATTATGTCAAACACATCCAACATTACCTCTTGTCCATTCATACTGATGGTAAATATAAATATGACATTGTGATGATCTATTTACTTCAAAATAGATTAATTATTTAAAAGGTAATATGTGTAATTTAGCACTTTCAAGAAAAAAAAAACATTCACAGGTATGGTGGTGGCTGGACGTTGGAGGATGATTATACAATTAAAGTTGGTTGAATGCTGTTGGGCAACATAATAGTGGCTGGAACTTATGGGACAACAGGATTTGTGGTGTCTAAATGTCAGAACAACAGATAAAGTAGTGGATGGATGTTGTGAGCCAGAGGATTAATTGTGGCAACATGATAAGTGATGTCAGACCAAAAATAATGATATAAGATACAAACATAATTATGTTTCAATATTACAGTTTTCTCACCTTTTAAATGTTTGGAACTATGATCTCTCATGTACTGAATGAAAACTGGCGTAAATTTCCCAGCAACAACTTGGCCAAAAAAGAATTCCCTGATAAAGCTATGTGCATTCCTATTGTCAATTCTATGAATGGCTACGAACAATTTTTCTAAATATGAGTGGATGCCTGTTGTGTCTCCTACATCATAAGCTAAACACCCAAGTGCCCATGATATTGTGCCAATATCCTTCAGTCGAATGGTGAGCTGTGGGTTGGTGTTGGTTACTTTAATTGCATTGTCCTCCTCACAGCTTTCAATCTGAATATCTGCAGGCTTTGGTAAAGCGTTTATGACAGCATCCACAAATTCCGGAACATCAAGCTTATACTTTGCATATTGTTTCAACAAGTATGCAACATCTATAAAATTCCTGCAATGTTTCTTCAAATCATTTTCATCCCTCATTAGTGTTCTCGCAACATCAAACAAAAAGGTGAAATTGTCCTCTCTGTGTGATTGGCACAGCTTGATAATCATGAGAAGATCTCTAGAATTCAAGTCACGAAGATTTGTCAGAGCTTTGTCTATTACTGAGGAAGCCAGAAAGTCTGCATGACCATAATTGAACTTTCCTACATAGAATGCATTCATGATCAAAATCAGCTCTTTCAAGGAAAATAGTTTTATATTCAAACAGACAAATGTGTGTACCTTATCCATTAAGGAACGAGGAACTTGTCTAAACACAGTTGTAAACAACATTAGAAGTGAAATGGAACTGGCATCCCATTCGTAAGTATCAAACTTTGATGTTGCTTGCATGAACAAGGCACGCAAGAAGTATTCACATTTATATTTCTTCATAATACTTCTCTCAATGAGATCAAATAACTGTTCAAAGGTCAAATCAAGTATATGAAATTCCCATATATTTCTCTGGAGAGCATCTAAAACTTCCACTTGCTTGGTCGACATAAATTTATTCTCATTCAAAATACTTCTGCAGACTTTAACACATGCTTGGCAGGACTTAAATGCTGGTTCTACATCAGACACTGTGATTTTCTTCCTGCTAAAGGGGAGACGCTCACATTTTTCCAATGGGGGTCTCTGTATGTAGTTCTTTAGCAAGTAATGGCCTGTTTTCAATGAGCCTTGATCAATATTTCTACATTTAGTATCTTCTTTACCATATCGTTGAGCAGTAGCGAATGTTCTAACAGATTGTCTGATTATGTGGAGATGGCCCATCACCACTGTTAAGTTTCTCATTGTCTCTATATCAAAAAGTTCTATCCTTAGTACATATGTCCAGTGATTCCAAAGCTCCAGGTTGTTGTTTTCAGTATGTAATCTGAAAGAACAAATCAAATCAAATCAACTTTAATAAAAGGATCTTTAGCAATATCTAGTTATCATGACTAAGGACAACGACTGTTTATTCAAATATGGTGGATATTGACAATTTTGCATTTTTGTTTGTTCTTTTATCATAGTCGTCTTTCGTTTGATTCAACTGCTCAAAAATATCAAGTCTTATTACAGAAGTCTATCAGTCAAATATAAGGTTTTCAAGAAGAAGTGGATAAAGTGCATTCATAAATTTGATCATGTGACCTAGAACATGGATTGAGAATCAAGGTCATTTCTTTTAACAAAAATTGTCTACTTTCATCCCAGGAAACTACAAGCCAATTATGCATTGTGGTTAAACATAAGAGGTTGTTAAACATTTTTCAAAATTTCAAGCTGGAACATTGAATATGGGTCAAGGTCATATTTCTACACAAACTTTATTGGACTTCATCTCACAACTTTCCTGTTAAATGTCATGATTTTGTTTCATTGAGATGAAGTAATTTGAAGACAAGGGCCATCAGAAACGGTTATGCCCCTCCTGTTTGGGACAAAATTTAAGTATGAGAGAGTTGTGATTCTTGTGCACTGTCCTCCTACTCATTGAGACCTATCTTCCTATAAAGTTATATGTTGGTAATGATATCTCTTAGAGTTTTTGTGTTCCGCTTCGGACAAAATTATAATGGACAGACAGACAAAGCAGCTACTTTATATGCTCTCCCTTCGCGGAGCATAAAAGTAGTTGACACTGCATGGATGATGAATGTTTCATTATGGGCATGTCATAACCATGTAATAAAACAAGAAGAAAGTCAAGGCAATGACTGCTTTCTGGCCCCAGTTTCAGGAATGTTCTTTAACCTTAAGAAAGTCCTTGGTAAGGAGTGCTTGTGAAAAGCATATTTAAGGAAATCTTACATAATGGATTCCTCACAGGATTTACATGTTACAAAATGTTCATGAAACCAGGACCTGCATGGACAGTATTGACTGGCCTGGCCCATAAAAACTCGCCAACCTAAGTGTTAATAATATTTGGATTAAATTTCTATGATTCTAATGTTGCACAAAGATCTTTCAATTTTGCCATGACATGCTCCAGGAGAGAAGAGAGTGAATGTGATTGTAACCCCTGGAGTATCAAGGATACTATTAATGTAAATCAACAGAATGTTAAAAGTGACTGCATGACATGCCATAATCTTACTAAAAATGACATGTTCCGTTATCTTGTTACAGATGCAAGTTAGAAAAATCTGTAGTAATTTCAGCATATGCATCATGTTTTGAAAATATTACACATTTCAACACAAAAGGGATTCATTTGTCTGGTTTAATTTAAATGTCTCAAATTTTATCACCTCTGTTGCTTATATTGTGACTAAAACAGAATAAAGGTAAATTCCATAATCTTATTACAGGTGCAAGTTAGAAAAGTCCCACCGATGACATTTATTTTAAACAGTACTAAACTTTTAACTTTTACTCCAAGCAGTAACTGTCACTCCATCAAGCATTTTCTGTCCGACCTGGTTTAGACCTAAAGCAAAAATGACTACTCTTTGCAGCTAGTGTTCATGTTAAACTAGTTTACAATGATTTCACCAGTAAAATGAAAAATAAAACAAATGCTAGATACCCGTGGTTAGACGTTACATCGCAGGAATCTCCGAATAGCTATATACCACTAAAATAGCAAGTGTCATGTATACAGACGACAGTCAATATATTATTCTGGTGAAAGGTTAGAATACAAACTTACGAAAAACGGCTGTACTAGGTCAGTTGACCATCTATAAACAGTTGACTCGTTGAACACCAGAGGCTACACGTGTGGTGTAGTAGGAAAACATCGAGGACGACAAAATACCAACATGACGGAAATAACCCGACAGGAAGCGTCTGCTGATGTCTTCACTGTTTATAAGGAAACGTAACAGACGAAATGTAAATAAGTCTCTAAATATAACCAGATAATAGTACGTAGATGTGCATGTAAAATAATAAGTATATATGTTACTGAAAAGAATGTATTTAAAACTTTGTCTCCCCTGAGCGTTTTAGCAGAGATCTAAGAGCTATGGCTATGAACAAATTCAGATTTCTCTGAGTTTCAATTCATCTCAGTACATTTGTTTATCTAGCTAATTAAAACTTGGATTTAATTAATCACATTTTCTCGTTTGATTGCTACGTTAAAATTTTCACTGCCTCAAAATAACAAATCTCCGATCTAGGCATGGACGTTTAATATACGTCTCTGATATGAACAAACTAAGGAAAATTGATTAACGCAGTCAAAGTGTACGATTTTTAAAATATTTTTTAAAGAAAATTTGAAATTTACTTTTTTATATAGATTATTCATTATAATTTTGGACTAGGTTTTAAGACTCAATCTCATATCGTATTCGTATCCCCTATCATGTAAGTACCCTGATACTTTTTCCTCTATCACAAAAGTATCCGGGGATACTTTTTTGTCCATCAGAAAAGTATCCCCCATAGCATTTTTACTAGGGGAATCAATTTATGATAGCTATCAGAATAGTATCCAGGGGACAAATTATCTGAGATATTAGGGGATACCTTTATAATGGCTGTCAGAATAGTATCCAGGGGACAAATTATCTGAGATATTAGGGGACACCGTTATAGTGGCTATCAGAATAGTATCCAGGGGACAAATTATCTGAGATATTAGGGGATACCTTTATAATGGCTATCAGAATAGTATCCAGGGGACAAATTATCTGAGATATTAGGGGATACCGTTATAATGGCTATCAGAATAGTATCCAGGGGACAAATTATTTGAGATATTAGGGGATACCGTTATAATGGCTATCAGAATAGTATCCAGGGGACAAATTATCTGAGATATTAGGGGATACCGTTATAATGGCTATCAGAATAGTATCCAGGGGACAAATTATCTGAGATATTAGGGGATACCTTTATAATGGCTATCAGAATAGTATCCAGGGGACAAATTATCTGAGATATTAGGGGATACCGTTATAATGGCTATCAGAATAGTATCCAGGGGACAAATTATTTGAGATATTAGGGGATACCTTTATAATGGCTGTCAGAATAGTATCCAGGGGACAAATTATCTGAGATATTAGGGGATACCGTTATAATGGCTATCAGAAAGGTATATAGTGGACAAATATCTGAAATATTAGGGGGGATACATTTATGACAGCTTTCAGAATAGTATCTAGGGGGGAAATTTTCTGAAATATTAGGGGGCATATAACATTCTATACTGTGTGCTCTTTTACTTTAAGATGTTCTCCGTTTTTCTTGGAAGTCAAATTCAGTATACATATACTCTGTGTCAGTTATGTACTTTCCTTTACACTTTATGTAAATGACCAAACACCAGTTGTTCCCCTCTGATAGATAACTACTCAGAAATGAAACTGGTCAGGGCTCCATCATCACGGAAGCCTTGAATCCTTTCAGTCTTTTAAAGTGTAACTACATGCAGTTTATTTATTTAATTTTGAAACAATTATTTCATTCATAGAAAAAGACACACCAATATTACATAAATTGTCTCGTCTTGTTGTCCTGTCTAGAAGACAAGACAAGACAAGCAGTTTACTGATAACAATGATAAAAGTCTTGGCTCAACATTAATTCATATGATTTAGTCTTTGGATCAAGATAAAAAAAACAGAAAGGAAAACAAATAGTCACTTTTGTATCATAATTTTCATTTAATGTGTCACATGTAGCAGAAAACATCCTGCTTTATAGAATGTGTACAAAAACAAGATAACCACAGAGCCTGTATCGATCACCTGGATATTAAAGCCCATCAATGGTACACCTGCCTATAGGTTGGGTATTTCAAATATTTCCAAATTAAAGTTTAGTCACTTAATCTCCAACGTTTATACAAAAAAAAATCCTTCACCAAAAGATGCTTCTGACCAAATTTAGGCAAAATCCAATCATTCCTACAGGAGGAGTAGGATTTTAAAGAACTAGCAAAATCCCCCCTTTTGGGCCCCGCCCCTCAGGCCATTGGTGGCCAGGACACACACATTTATACAAAAATGTTTCCATTTCCCTAAGAATGCTTCTGACAAAATTTGGTCAAAATCATCTCAGTCATTCATGACTTGTAGTGTCTTGCAAAAAAAGTTGACAGATGCCGCGATATTCCTTTAGCTCACTTGGCCCTTCGGGTCAGGTGAGCTAAAAAGCAAGTGAACAGTCACAGCTGTAATGTTTATTTCTTCACTCAAAGGATGGACAATATGGGTATGAGTAATTAAAAAAGGACATATATATATATGTATCTTCTCTCTATATATATAATAGATTACCCCCTTGATTCTTTTCTGATTACCATCATATGTGTATCCCCCCTTTGGTATAATTATGAATATCCCCCCGGACACTTTTCTGATTACCATCATATATGTATCCCCCCTTTGGTATAATTATGAATATCCCCCCGGACACTTTTCTGATTACCATCATATATGTATCCCCCCTTTGGTATAATTATGAATATCCCCCCGGACACTTTTCTGATTACCATTATATATGTATCCCCCCTTTGGTATAATGATGAATATCCCCCCGGACACTTTTCTGATTACCATTATATAAGTATCCTTCCCCTACATATATATATATATATATATGATAAATATCCCCCAAGATGCTTTTTATATACATATACATATATGTATATATGTATATATATAGTACAAAGGTTACTTTTCTGTAAAAGATATACAGTACAACGGTTCACTTTCTTATGTCTGGCGCCATATATACAGTACACAGATTCAAACTCAACTGTCTGGCGCCATATATACAGTACAAAGATTCAAACTCTAATGTCAGACGCCATATATACAGTACAAAGATTCAAACTCTAATGTCAGACGCCATATATACAGTACAAAGATTCAAACTCTAATGTCAGACCCCATATATACAGTACACAGATTCAAACTCTAATGTCTAGCGCCATATATACAGTACAAAGATTCAAACTCTAATGTCAGACGCCATATATATAGTACAAAGATTCAAACTCTAATGTCAGACGCCATATATACAGTACACAGATTCAAACTCTAATGTCAGACCCCATATATACAGTACAAAGATTCAAACTCTAATGTCAGACGCCATATATACAGTACACAGATTCAAACTCTAATGTCAGGCGCCATATATACAGTACAAAGATTCAAACTCTAATGTCAGACGCCATATATACAGTACAAAGATTCAAACTCTAATGTCAGGCGCCATATATACAGAACACAGATTCAAACTCTAATGTCAGACCCCATATATACAGTACAAAGATTCAAACTCTAATGTCAGGCGCTATATATACAGTACAAAGACATACAGTATGAAGATTCAAACTCTAATGTCTGGCGCCATATATACAGTACAAAGATTCAAACTCTAATGTCAGACGCCATATATACAGTACAAAGATTCAAACTCTAATGTCAGGCGCCATATATACAGTACAAAGATTCAAACTCTAATGTCAGACGCCATATATACAGTACAAAGATTCAAACTCTAATGTCAGGCGCCATATATACAGTACACAGATTCAAACTCTAATGTCAGACCCCATATATACAGTACAAAGATTCAAACTCTAATGTCTGGCGCCATATATACATTACACAGATTCAAACTCTAATGTCAGACGCCATATATACAGTACACAGATTCAAACTCTAATGTTTGGCGCCATATATAAAGTACAAAGATTCAAACTCTAATGTTTGGCGCCATATATAAAGTACAAAGATTCAAACTCTAATGTCAGATGCCATATATACAGTACAAAGATTCAAACTCTAGTGTTAGACCCCATATATACAGTACAAAGATTCAAACTCTAATGCCAGGCGCCATATATACAGTACACAGATTCAAACTCTAACGTCTGGCGCCATATATACATTACACAGATTCAAACTCTAATGTCAGACGCCATATATACAGTACACAGATTCAAACTCTAGTGTTAGACCCCATATATACAGTACACAGATTCAAACTCTAACGTCTGGCGCCATATATACATTACACAGATTCAAACTCTAATGCCAGGCGCCATATATACAGTACACAGATTCAAACTCTAATGTCAGACGCCATATATACAGTACACAGATTCAAACTCTAATGTCAGACCCCATATATACAGTACACAGATTCAAACTCTAATGTCAGACGCCATATATACAGTACACAGATTCAAACTCTAATGTCAGACGCCATATATACAGTACAAAGATTCAAACTCTAATGTCAGACCCCATATATACAGTACAAAGATTCAAACTCTAATGTCAGACGCCATATATACAGTACACAGATTCAAACTCTAATGTCAGGCGCCATATATACAGTACAAAGATTCAAACTCTAATGTCAGACGCCATATATACAGTACAAAGATTCAAACTCTAATGTCAGGCGCCATATATACAGAACACAGATTCAAACTCTAATGTCAGACCCCATATATACAGTACAAAGATTCAAACTCTAATGTCAGGCGCTATATATACAGTACAAAGACATACAGTATGAAGATTCAAACTCTAATGTCTGGCGCCATATATACAGTACAAAGATTCAAACTCTAATGTCAGACGCCATATATACAGTACAAAGATTCAAACTCTAATGTCAGGCGCCATATATACAGTACAAAGATTCAAACTCTAATGTCAGACGCCATATATACAGTACAAAGATTCAAACTCTAATGTCAGGCGCCATATATACAGTACAAAGATTCAAACTCTAATGTCTGGCGCCATATATACATTACACAGATTCAAACTCTAATGTCAGACGCCATATATACAGTACACAGATTCAAACTCTAATGTTTGGCGCCATATATAAAGTACAAAGATTCAAACTCTAATGTTTGGCGCCATATATAAAGTACAAAGATTCAAACTCTAATGTCAGATGCCATATATACAGTACACAGATTCAAACTCTAGTGTTAGACCCCATATATACAGTACACAGATTCAAACTCTAACGTCTGGCGCCATATATACATTACACAGATTCAAACTCTAATGCCAGGCGCCATATATACAGTACACAGATTCAAACTCTAGTGTTAGACCCCATATATACAGTACACAGATTCAAACTCTAACGTCTGGCGCCATATATACATTACACAGATTCAAACTCTAATGCCAGGCGCCATATATACAGTACACAGATTCAAACTCTAATGTCAGACGCCATATATACAGTACACAGATTCAAACTCTAATGTCAGACCCCATATATACAGTACACAGATTCAAACTCTAATGTCAGACGCCATATATACAGTACAAAGACATACAGTATGAAGATTCAAACTCTAATGTCTGGCGCCATATATACAGTACAAAGATTCAAACTCTAATGTTTGGCGCCATATATACAGTACAAAGATTCAAACTCTAACGTCTGACGCCATATATACAGTACAAAGATTCAAACTCTAATGTCAGACGCCATATATACAGTACAAAGATTCAAACTCTAACGTCTGACGCCATATATACAGTACAAAGATTCAAACTCTAATGTCAGGCGCCATATATAAACTACAAAGATTCAAACTCTAATGTCAGACGCCATATATACAGTACACAGATTCAAACTCTAATGTCAGACCCCATATATACAGTACAAAGATTCAAACTCTAATGTCAGACCCCATATATACAGTACAAAGACTTACTCTCAATGGCAGACACACGAGGTTCCTTCTCTGTTGTTGCACCTCTGATAAAAAGTCGATTTTTTTTCTCCATCCATTCATTAAGTAAATACTAAGGCGGTAATATAAAGTTTATCTATCATGCTTCATAAAGCGAGTTCAAATGTTGATATTTTCCCCATGTATCCTTTAATATCATTTGTACTTATGTCACCATACTACTTTTCTGATATATTAAAAATGTGTATTTATTTTCTATATGTAATTGCTGTGTCAAACGTGCGTTGATATGACTTGTGAATGAGTTGTGCTGTCGATTTCATTTCCCTCTGATTGATGAAAAACAGAGAGAAAATTATTGTTGTCTTTTGGATGAGCCGTTCTCCTGCCTTGTTCCTCCAATGGAACAGTTGTGGGTCTGGCTTGATTTGTAACACCTATTTTTCTCTGTGTGGTATTTTGCCTCCTGTTGGAAGTGTTATGAAGGCCAAACACATTCTTGAAAACGATCTTGACTTCCGCCCTAAAACGACTTCCGCTCATACAGTACAAGAGGAAGTTAAATGTATTGTTGGCGTACATCAACACGTTGACCAAGGTCCAGAAAAGACTGAGATTTGCCTGAGTAGCCACTGAAGCATTCCGGGACCAGTGTACATATCCTATCAGATAAATACTAACGGGTGTTGTGCAAAGCAAGAAGACACAATTGAGACAAAATAGCATTATGCTCATTGATGACATTTGAGAGCGCTGTGAACGACTGTTGGGATCATGTGGTACCACTTGTCGCTTTGCTGCTCTTTGACTGGCGAACACTTTTGTTATTATCAACACATTTCCTGTGACAAGAAAACAAAACGGCAGACCACAAAATATTGTTAAATCCATCCATGGCCACAGTTCTTCGAAGAAATAGCGGTATTTTTCGGTAACGAAATCACACGATATGGTTGTTGATTTTCCGTCAACTTTTACGATCCTGTCCATACCGTACAAGATATGGCTATTGATCAACATAAGAAATACAAAGATTGGAGTTATTATGAAAGCTGCCGATTTCTTTGTGCACTTAACCTTGGCCTTGTGAGGAAACCAGACCAGTGCCACGCGATCTGCTGTAACCGCTACCAAGATCCATGCCGAAAAATCCAACGACACGTACACCAACCACGTGTGAATTTTGCACATACCGGAAGTATGGGTCCGGATGTCATCCTGGAAGGTGGCGAATATCCACCTGCGAAGAAGACCAGTATATAATACGACCAGGTCAGAGCATGCGAGCACCACGAGATACAACGTACACGTTGACTGTCGAATGTTTTTCCTCGTAAGAATGTAAATGGACAAGATGTTTCCAAACGTCCCGAAAGTTATCATAAATGGTGGCACACCTTTTGCGAGAGAGTTTGACGCATAATATTCTTCTGTCATAGTATAGTCGTAATATGTACAGCTGCCGTTACACCCAGTCATCTTCCAGGCATAAATCTGTAAAATACCAACAGTTCATGTACGTCTATATATACCATTCTTACGCGTAAGTGAGTCACGTACAAGTACATTGCTTGTTTTCTGTGTCAGAATATCACATTTACCAAGTCTTAAATAAACAATCTGTCTGTTTTACTTAATGCAGTTCAGTTAATGTAAACTAAAGCGTATCACGTGGAATAGCACGGACCAGAACGCACTCCTTGCTGACCATCCGATCTGTGATAGCAACATGCACGCACATGTAAATTAAAGAGGATAACGTTCGTGTTTTGACAGCTCGTATATAGATAAATGTAGACTAATCAGATATACTGACCATCTCCTGTGCAGTGGATATCAATCTGACAAGCGCTATTATCCTGGCCGGTTGGAGGGGCAAATATCAGCACCCTACGGAAAATATAGGTAGAATTGTCTTACCAGAGACACGCAAATACTTTACCCGCTCAAGTTACTCCGTAGTTCTGATCTACATATTGTCGATACATTTCTTGATATAATTTATTATCTATATCACGGTATATATACAAGTTTAATCAACTATATCATAATATATCAACTTATTCCCTGTATCAAACACCTATGAACGCAATAGGATCGGTATCGTTCTCACTTACATCGAGGTATGAAGCGGCGAACGTTTTAGTGACGTAAAACACAGGGATTTGGCACATATTTCTAACCCCATGGTAAGTTGATGTCATTATCAGTGCCATTAGGAGGGAAAATGTGTGTCTTTATTGGTAATGCATATAAATACCATTAAAAATAGTAAGAAAAATATCTTTTAACTATACTTGTTTAACGCAATTTTCATTTATAGCGCTATAATGACGGGGCTTTTACCGATCTGTACTTGTTCAAAATTGTAATTCATATTTTATTCTCAGACAATACCTATTTGTTCAAAATAGCATTTATTTTATAAAGTGACCGTGCTTTCCCTTTAAATTCAAGGTCGTGCACCGACGTTTTCTCACTGTGACGGTTATTATGAACAAGTATAGGAGATTTTGTCGGAGGAAGACCACGCCCTTCTAAAGAAAACACGTAACAGAAAGATGACAATCTGAACAGTTTTACTTTCATGATAATTAACTGGCATATTTTAATTCTATCAAACTTCTATTCTCTTAATAAGTGTTGTTTATCAATTTACATTTTTTATTAGATTTTCTAATCTGCTGGAAAAGTTTCCACAATATGTGTGACTTGTATAAGAATATACCATTTTATCATTATGATAATTTTAAATATTTCTATTGATATAAAAACTTGTTCTTTATAGTCTTTTATTAACACGTCTATGGGATACGTGTCTGTACAATTTTATACCACTATTAGAGATAGGGCAAAACGATACATGTTTTGTCATTTTCTTTTGAAGTTGCGGATTTATGTCATTTTCACGTGTACGTTTGGTGTTGTTTTTCCTTTTAGATTGCATCCAATAATTTACCGTATCTTTTAGCACAATCAAATTATTAATTCTCTTATCAAAAATTTATGTAAGCAATTCATATCTTGGAAAATGTACATGTTCAATTCAAATGTCAATCTAATATTGTCATTTTTGTTATTTGAATCTATCTATATAGATGTGTGTGTATCTATTATACCGTGAAAGTGAAATGCATGTCGTATCGATAGCAATGGCTACATATGGACTGACCTGGTGGAAAAAAAGAGTTTATCAGAGTGAAAGAGAAAAATCCAAATACGTGCTCTCTCGAGAGATGAAAAATGTGGGTGTGGCATCTTTACAGATGTGTGTGCATTATTACAATCTATTTCATGAATACTCACATATATTCCCCGTTGAATAAGAAGTCCTTCCTTTTATGAAAAATATGTCGTTACCGGGATAAAGTTCCTAATGAAAGCAAAATGCTCCTTTATATATATACCAGGTCGTCCTCGGAAACAAAATATCGTTCAAATATGTCGTTAATCGGTGAAAAGGTGTGAATGGCCCTTTGGAATTGCAACAGAAACAATCACTGACATTTCAGAAACATGGCTAGCTGTTCATTGGTCAATTGATCCCCATACTGCGAACAGGTGTCATTCACGCGTTGTATGTTTCAGTGACTGAAGTCCCACCTTCCTTTATATAAGCACACCGATTCTCATAGCTCTTTGTGTCCAAATTAAAGCTCACTGGAGGATGTATGGAATATGCGGTGGTCGTTGATACGATTTCACGTGGGATACGTCATCGAATAAAGACAGCTACATGATGCTGTTTAGTAAATATTACAGCAACCCCCCTGGGCAATTTGGCTTGTTGTATATTGATGCGTATCGCGAACCAATATGGAGTTAAACAGTACAGAAGGTGGTACAATAATCACTAACCCCACACTCGATACTCCGAAACTCGAGATAGGTGGGAATCTACAATGTGAACAATGATAATAATGATGTATAAACACAAAACAAAACAACAACAATCCCGCCGGTCAGTAATACAATGTTTAGGTTTCAAAACAAATTTATTAATCCAAGTGCTCATAAAATATACGTATACAGTAGGTCAGATACCGAAAGTGACCAACGGCCATGTATGTTCATGCACGGACCGAATCACTGTAAATTGTAATGTACAGGCCCACGTGTTGCAATTTAGTGTGCATGTACTAAGAACGTGAAAACAAATATAATACAGAATCTAAGTATTTGTACTTTGTTACTAGTATCATAAGTATCAGTCATAATTTGTGTTTAAACATTAGTAGACAGTGTTTTATCAGCTCTTCTCACCAGTTGATAACCTAAGTGATCAGAGTTAGTTAGCAATGACGTCTACAACAAAGGGGTCAGGTTTCTAATGGATGCGGTGAACATTTCCTCAGTATAGACATCAACGGAGATACGTCCTGTTGATATGATGGCAGATATAGCAATTTCTTTAGAATAGATAAGCTTCATTTTCCTGCCATCTCGTATGAATTTTTTGGTGTCAAACATTCGGAGCACCCAAATAAACACACGAGCATCGCGAGAGTGTCCATTGTTTAACAAACGTAAGTTGAACAATTCATTATTGTATACCATGTTTACTAACTTTCTCGATTTTCGTATCACCAGAAGGTGCCGGTGATTGATTATCTCGAGACAGACACCTCAGTGTCTGTTTGTTTATCATCCTAGCTTTATCAATTCACGGATATTGACTTTTGCTATTATTGTTTCGACCAAGGAATTGTTTTTTCCACGTAAATCGCACCCGGAAGATTTTTGGTCTGCTGTTTATTGGATCTCGTTTTATATATGTTTATATTTGAATTGTGACAAGATTCAGAATATGTACATGTACCAGACATTCTTTGAAATAATTCTGTATAGAAATTTATGGAATTAATTGAATGTTTGGGTTAGAGCAACTTCCCCTCCAGGTTTTGACATGGATTTATTTGTATACCCTTCGAAGTAAAATCTATTAGAGATGATTTTTGTATTATGAAATTACATTTTTCTCACTTCATGATTGGCTTATAAAGTGACACGTGATTTCCGATAAAAGGTCCTATCGAAAAGGCCAAGAGATAAAACTGGTTGACCGGGTACTTCTAAAAAAATAATGACATATTCGAAAGTGTTTCGTCGACCTTGACACCCCTAACGATAAATTACATTTACAACAAATGATAAATTGTTTGTAAAATATGTTTGTTACCTGTAAAGAGGCATATTGTGCTATTACATTAATTTTGTTTTGTTTCACAATATGAATAAAATCACACGTGTATATAAATATAACAGTTAATTAAGAAAATTTATTTTAAAAAAAAAATCATGATAAAACTGTTACAGCCTTATGATTTCGTCAATACATGGTGATATCGACCTTAGGAAAACATTGACTTCGTCCACGGTCGATATTTTTTTCACAGATTGATCTAATCATATATCGACCTCATCAAAAAGAAATAATCGTATAGTATTATTTATACCCTATGTCGTCACTGACTTTTAGGGACATATTCCTTCTAAACACACTTTCAATAAGAATATACGTTTTAAGAGGCTGTCGGAATTATAGATGCCATAAATTGTTTATCATACGAAAAAAAAGACTAATTTGCAAACATGTAAAAGAAAAAGCATTCACCAAGCTTCTCTTTTACTTAGTTCTGTTAAAAAAAGTCATGTTTCATTTTCTTAAAACCCGTAATTTTTTTCACACTTACAAAAATAGTAGTACACAATACCCTGTGGGTGACATTGAAGGTGATCTACCAAATGTCTCTAAACAGTGCACACAAATAGCCAATGCCAATATTAGCTGTTATGACCTACATTCGTAAAAAATAACGATATGTTTTGTGGAAAGGCCCAGAAAGTATGTCCGTGTGATGACGACGACATATTTTACGAGAATATCAAAGGTAGGTAAAAGAAAAACATAATTGCCATAAATGTGTTTTAAAAAAGACGAAGTGTTGCAACGAAAATCTGCCGCTGTCTTATTACAAACGAATAATTTATCATCATAAAGGGAGACATATCCATTTGGCATTGATCTAACCATTAATATATCTAGCACTGCCCCTTTTGTATTAGGAGAGGTCCGAAACAATCGGTTACGTGATTTTTATGTCGATCAATAGTAAAACTGGTGATCTCTATCAGTTCTTATTCACGGGGAATGAGTCTTACCAGTTTGAATTGATCATATAATCTATTCAAATAAGTCCTATCATCAAAGGAACTGAAGAACCTAGAAAGTCTCGTTTTTTACCGGATGGGATTATTTATTTTTAAGATATTGCTAAATATCGGTTTTCAATTTATTGAATATTTCCTTATTGAACGTCTATTTCTAAGCCAGCGCTTTCATATCCGATCTTACATGTCTTTGATCGCCAATATTTCAAACCCAAAGCAATAACTTTCAAATGATGATTAATCACGACATCAATGTCATTACATCA